TCCTGAACGTATATAATCAGTGTTGTGACACCTGAGAGGCTGAGTAAATGTATGCAACATTTCCAGTTGTGGCTCCAGTCCTGCAGGGTATGCCTTACAGCTTGTTGGGTTTTTTGTTGTGTTGTTGGGTTTTTTTGTTTTGTTTTTTTCCCCAGGTGGCATCTCCCTCTTCCTGAACGTATATAATCAGTGTTGTGACACCTGAGAGGCTGAGTAAATGTATGCAACATTTCCAGTTGTGGCTCCAGTCCTGCAGGGTATGCCTTACAGCTTGTTGGGTTTTTTGTTGTGTTGTTGGGTTTTTTGGGTGGTTTTTCTCTGACTTTGCAGACCACAAGGGTTTGCCTAAGCTTCAGAGAAGTGTCGTGTGAATGTATAGGGTCATAGCTGAAAGAAACCTGTCAAAGTTCCCTTTAAGTATCTGGTGAATGCCACTGGAGTCCCTGCTTTTGTAGAACTCTCAGTTGTTTTTTGATTTTAAGAGAGCTTGCATTCATTAAACTTTCTTCCTATACTTTTAAACTCGGTTTAATTTCTTGGGGAGGGTTCTAGGGTCTAATTTTTAATCAGACTTCTAGCTGAGGGCATGCCTAAGCCTTAGGAACAGAGAAAAGCCTCCAAAAAGAAGATTTAAATGAATGAACGAATGCTAGATATATAGTAGAACACTCATAGAAACCCCCACAAATGAAAATCCATTTATTTACTAGCAAAGCTGATCAATTGAAAATTATTAAATGTTGCTTTCAAAACTGTTTGTCCAACATTAATTCAGGCACTTTGTTTTTGTGCGTTACATTCATTTATATATTTTTTGCTTTACTTGTGAACAACAAGATTTAGAATAGACTTACAGTATAAAATTATTTTGGTCCTCAATCCTGATTGTATTTTACTAGCAAAATCCCGACTGTGGTTTCAGAGAAAGGAAGTGTTAAATTCATTTAAACTGAATCTTAGAAAGTATTAAACCATTTTCAGATAGAGCTTGGATTTGAAAGTTGGGTGCAAACATGCCTGCTTCACAACACTAACACCGTTGTATAAACTGTTGGCAATGACGGTCTGTGCTGTCTCTTTGCCCTGCTTTACTACCACTGGTCAAGTTGCTCCATCAGGAAGCCTCAAAAAGTGGAATTGCCCCTCATACCCATCACCTAACTCCAAACCTGTGTCCCTGTTGTGCTTGGCTTTCAGTAGGGGCCACGAGACTTCTGTAGAACCTGTTCACATCTGAGTTGCAGAAGTTCAACACAATGAGTTTAGGGAAGGATGGAGTTCCAGCTCGAACTGTGAATTTCCTGACTTCTGATTAAAACCAGATGCTCGGTACTGTTATAACATAGAGTTTTATGGGTGAATACAGCAATACTTTATTTCATAAATGTGTGCTTTGCAAGAAATCTGGTGGGAATTGTAAAGTAGTACCTGACAATATTGATGTTTAAATGTCCCAGCGTAGCATATTAAAACAATAGCAATTCTTTGCTCATGACACAGCTGAGGTGCAAATACACATGCTGATGCCCTCTGTAAAATGTGTCAGATGGAAGAGAGAAACACAGTGTCTCAGGACAATATTTCAGGGCCAAATGCAGTCCCTTATGAGATGTCTTTACAGATCGATTTCTTGGGGCTATGAAAAATAAATGTAAACATTCTTGCAAAAAGTCTGTCAGCATTTATGGCTTTGCATTATGTATAACTTCTGTCCATTTATGGCAGAAAGAAATGCTACAGTGTGTCATGTAGACTTTTCTATATTATATCTACATGTTGCATTGGTGTGTCGATGGGATTTCAAAGAAAATCTTGCCTAGCTCAATGTTTGCTTTCTTGGAAAGAATTAATTTCACATCCCCATCTTTCTCCAATGGAAAAATCCCATCTAAACCACTTTTTTTTCCTTTTTTATTTCTTTTTCTTTTTCCTTGTTCTTTCCGAAAAATCCCATCTAAACCACTTTTTTTTCCCTTTTTTATTTCTTTTTCTTTTCCCTTGTTCTTTGCTTTTCCCCTTTCTTTCTTTTTCTTTTTTTTTTCCTCCTTCTCCCTGCTCTGGGAAGGTATCCAGCCATATAGCAAGAAAAGCAAAAGCATTGAGAGATGCACTCCCAGCCAGTAAGTGGTGGAGCTGATCTGGCAGCTGTCAGTCCAGATGTTGTTCCCCCTGCCTGACCTGTTCCTGCCAGTGCCAGATCCTGTGGCTCTCATAGGAAATTAGGAGGCTTTGGTTGCATCAAGGTGGCTTGAACTTGGTGCCTGAAGTTTTCACCCTATACTGCATTCTATGGCAGAAGAAACTGTCACCTCTGGGGTAAGGCAAGGGCTGGACCTACTCTACAAAGAGGGGTCAGAGTGTCATGAGGTGTGTTTTGTGACAAAAACAGTTGTACTGGCAAAAATTCCTCTGCATATATACAGATTAAACTGTCCTTTAATTGAGGTCAGAGTGTCATGAGGTGTGTTTTGTGACTAAAACAACTCTACTGGCAAAAATTCCTCATGGGAGTGCATATACACAGATTAAACTTTCCTTTAATTGGAGCTGGTGGTGAGGTGTGGTGCAAACCAGGCTTTCTATGTCCCCCTTTCCTTTTTTACTCTTTTGCAGGAACCGCTCCCTCTGCTTTCATTGATGTTTCCCCAAATCCAGTATGAACATGAGCATGTGAAGGCAGATTTCAAACCCACAAGCAGGGGTATCTGCATGTAAACAACAGATTTAAGAGCTATAGCGGTTACTGTATAGTGTTTACTCCAAAATATGGGAGGAATACAGCTGACACAGAGCATCAAACGCTATTTTCCTTCAGGAATGGGAGTCAGGGCAAACCACCACCAGGAAGGGTCTTCCTCATTTCAGAGTTCCAATAGTCCAAATGCTGCAGTTGTTCACCTGTAAAGCTCAGTTCCTAAATTGGTCGTTAGGCTTTTGTTCCACTTTGCAGCTGATATGACTGAGATCGCAAGTGCTGGAATGGGTTGGTACCTTCAACCTGTCTCCCGATTTCTGTGCCAGGGAGTCTGCATTTCTATAGGGAGTGTAAATGAAGGCGTTATTTGGATGAAAGGCTGGATCATCTTGGGCAGGGTCCATCGCCGTAACCTTTTGATCTATGGGGAAAAATACCCGTCCCCTTACGTTAGATCTATTTGGTGTTTGTGAAGACATATGGAGTGAGAATACTGGAAACCACATGCCCGCATTTATCTGAAGGTTGGGGATTACCTTCCTGACGGGTGAGAAAGAAGTTGTCTCAAATCTCGTTCAAATGTTTCCTTTGTTTCAGTACATCTTGGAAGAGAGACAAATTATAGCAAATATGTATTTTTGACATGAAAAACAGTCCAAAAGGGCTCGAAATGAAACCACAAATTCCCTTCAGCTAGGCACAGAGATTGAGTGTGGCTCTCTTGCAAACGATCTCCTCTCACATGTTGAAATTCCAAAGGTAGGTCTCTCTCCTTTTTCTCTTTTCAAATTGGAAAAAAAAAGATCGTTGCTCCCCCACTTCATTAACTCTGCCAGTCTCCAGTCGTATTAAATCTTTCTTTGTAGTAGTTAAAAGCAACACTTCTACATAATTTTTAACATATACCAACATCAGTTTGCCAAGGATCCTGCGTCCAAGTGTCAAGCTGGGGGTGGCAGTAAGACCAGAACTTTAAGGGTCTCTTCATGTTCCGTCAAACTATTTCTGACTTTGACCTTGACAGAGAAAATATGGCCTAAGGGACTGCATGAATCAGCGTCACCCAGCAACTTGCTGCTCTTGTCCCATATTAGCCACTTCATTGTTGTTTTTGGACGACATGGTGCTTTATCTGTGTCTCTTTTCTTCGATTTGTCTGCTGCTGTAACATGGCGTGGTTTAAAAATGCCCTAGCTGATCCATAAACAGTAAAAGTAAAAAGAAAATGTACCATGTTGCTGTAGGATGCTGCACTGATGTTTATCTAGAAAATAAAATATGGGCTGTTTTTTTCCACTCATTTTCCACTGAAACTGCCAAACATGTTCTTGTTAGGAAGAAAGTGTACCCCTGAAATAGCTATGGATATTACCCATCTGAATGATCATTTGCACCAGCTCACTGGTCCTGAGTGCAAGTTCTTGTATTAAACCTTAATATATTTCAGTGTCAGCTGCCAGCATATTTTTTATTAGTATATAGGCTGTCACATCGTTGCTCTCAACACTAGGAAGTGACAGCAGGCTGAGAAATGGAGAAAGTTGGTTAATTCATCATCCTCTCCTTCCCTACTGAGGGTCTCTTTCTCTTACATTGTGATCATTTGAACTGGAAAGCAGCATTTTGTCTTGCTTAAGGCAGATGTTGGTGCAATGGAATCAGTGACAGGCTTTCTGCTCTCAACCGTGATGCCACAGCAACTCTGTGACTGCTCCTGGTTTTGACTTCTCTGGCATCATCCTTTAGGATGTGCTGGGGAAAAATAAACCAAACCCAACCGTAAACTTCCTATGTAAGCAAAATAGGATGTTAGGTTAAATGGTCCGCTAGAACCGACTGAAAGCTCTGCATTAAGGGGCAAGCTGCTTGTCAAACGGGTTGGAAATGGTGCAAGGAGGAATTTGCAAAACAAGGCAGTACGTCTGTGAGCTCTTTGCAGGCCTCCAGAGGGAGGGAGGTCCCCTCTTTTATTATCTGATGAACATCAGTCCCTTTGGTCAGACTGCTAGGCGCCTCCAGGAGCTTAACCTCAGATTAACATCTGCTTCACTTCAGTGTCTGTCTGATAGCGATATCAATAAACATCATCATCTTACAGTCAAAAACTGATAATTAAATCTGTGCCTGCTGACTCACTGTCTATTGTGCTCTGGGGAATAATTGCAGATAGTGAAGATGTAATAGATAAAGCCCCATATATTTCGCTGAATAATGAATGTGAAGCTCTTGTAAGCATGATTAACCACATGTAATGTGTATCTATTCATAGGAAGTGCAGCCAGAGGAAGACTGAGTTTCCTTGTGTTGGTTTAGACCTGCTGTAAATGCCTAAGTCCTGTTGGCCAGATTTGGACCCGTTACACTAGGAATGGTACCTGCAGGTCTGACCCCTGCCTCCTTTCTGCTTTGATCTGTGGCAACTGAAAAGATTGTATGGGAGGAAAAACACAGGTGAGCACAGTGTCACATTGTGTATACATTGCAACTAAGAGCTCCTGCACTCTCTAGCAGGCAAATCTAGTAGGCTTTAGTTGGACAGACCCGCTTTTGAGCTCCAAAAAAATCCATTTTTCATTACTTTCTCCCAGCCAGCCCCATGGTATCTGGTAAACAGCCTCGGGAAGTGATGGGGCTGCACTTCCCACCAGCGGCGAGGAGTCAGAAACGTCCTGAAGGACAGCATGAGGCACGAAATGCTTTGAGTGAGGCGAGGGCTGACAAGCGCTTTCTAGGATTACATGTGGGGCCCTGTGAAGAACCGAGCGTGGTTCAGGGGGGTGGTACTCCTTGCTGGCAGAAACAGCCCTCCTAAGGGCCCTCTGCACGGTAGCGGCTGAGCATCCCGCTGTCAGCAGCACGTAGCCCCCAGTGGAGTAACCCAGTGGTGCTCCTGTCACCTTCCATTCATCACCCACCCCTTCCCCTGCGGGTAGTGCCATCTCAAACCATAAAAAGGCTAGGAGCTGGCGAAGGGCTCAGTCCCCAGCCTTGGAGAGGTTTATTGTAGGTATTCCGCTCCGTGTGCTGCCAGCAGTTTCTTGGGTGGTGCTTCAGGCAAGATCAGAGCCTTGAGCTTGAGGGATTTTGGTTGGTTTATTGAAAAGACAGGCTGGGAAAACGAGAGAGAAAAAGATAAATGTAATTTTCCTAACAGCCAACCTACATGTTTCTGTGTTCTGAAAAAGTCGCTGAGAGGAAATGAAAATGCAAAGGGTGAATTAGAAGGAAAGTCCAACAATGTAGCTCTGCCATAAGCAGGAGAAAGTGAGATTCTTTCTTGAATTTTATATCAAATTCTGTCCCGCTGATTTGGGAAAAAAGATAGAATAGGGGATGTTAAACTGCTTGCATAAGCACAGATTTTTTAATATTTTTTTAATAAGTAAAAGTGTGAAAACCAGTTAAAAAACCTCAGTTGTGTGCATATTTATCTTCTTCAGTCTCCCTGTTCAAGAGGGCTTTGTGCAACTCACCTAATGTCATTATTTATGGAGATGGACAAAGGGACATAATTTGATTGGGGCGCCACATCATCAAACCTGCGTGAGGATTTGGGCTCACTTCTGAAATCGTGTGAAATCATTTGGGGGCTGTTAGCAAGAGGTGCAGGGTGGTGCACAGGAAATGTACCTTGGAGTTTGGGACCTTCTCTGCCACGCAGCTCACGGAGCCAGAGTCATACCTGAAACTGACCCTGCAATCTTTCAGGGTTTGATTTGAAGATCTGAATTCAGTGCAGCTTGGGTTGTTTATGAGTGAGGACATTTAAAGGACTTAGCTAGCCATTCCTAGTTTGCACTACAGTTAAAGTTTATTTAGATTTCATTAAAAAACCTGAAAGCCTGTAGTTCTGCACTACCACAGACTGTCATAAGATTAAAGCAGAGGTGGGTGAAATACCCCAGTGCTGTAATGTGTGAACCCACAAAACAGGGATCTGGGGACCCATATTTAAGGAATCTTTAGAGATCTGAGATAAGCTGTTTCTACTTTAGCTAATCTCCATCATTAAAACGTGTGTTTATCATGGGTTAATACATATCATGTTGTGAAAGCCTGATCCTGTTAAAATCAAAGGCAAATTGGCTCTTGATCTTGAAATGATGGGCTATCATTTCAGTTATTTAAATAATTTCTATTAAAAAAAATAAAATTATCTGAATACACACTTTATCTATGTGTGCATTCAATACAGAGACCAAATCAGAGATTGTACTGGTATTTTCTGCATTGCTTCAGAAGGGGTGAAATGGGCAGTGAAATGGGGGACTGAGGAAAGGCAGAAAAACATCCATCAAAGTTTTTATTGACTGGACAAACCTCCTTTGCCAAGGTTTAGGCTAAAAGCTTTAGCTTCACTTATCCCATGTGGATGGTACCTGTGGTTCAGCCATGTACATTAGCACATTTAGCTGCCCAAACGTGTCTCATTGTTGAGAGAAGGGAGAAATCCTCACTCTTACCCTCTCCCCAGAGGAGAGGAGGGGACACTTGAGCTTTGTTTGGCTTAGCCTGTTTATAATTGTATTTTACATTAGGAAAAGGAGTTTTATGTTTGGTGGTAGGTAAGAGTGGCAAAGCTTTGGGGAGGCTGTGTGTGGTCTCGGAGGGTCGGAATTTTGAATTGTGCTTTGCTGCAGATTCAAGGGTCTCCCATCCTGTAGTGATGTAGGGCAACAGTGATGCCCTGGGCAACTTGGAGGGAACCAGGGACTCCTCCACTGTTTGAGTACATGGGATCAATTTGTAGTTTGGGCTCCAACGGAATTGTTGGAGTTGGAAGGGACCTTCTAGAGGTCATCCAGTCCAACTCCCCTGCCAAAGCAGGGTTGCCCAGGGCACATCACTCAGGACAGCATCCAGGTGGGGCTTGAAGATCTCCAGAGAAGGGGACTCCACACCCTCCCTGGACAGCCTGTTCCAGGGCTCTGGCATCCTCCAAGTAAAGAAGTTACAGAAGTGCTGTCTGGGAAAAATGATATCTGATAACTTGCCTATTATAGTGAGACCAAAATTAATGGAGCAGGGCTTACATTAATGGAGAAGAGCCAGCTCATAGCTTTTGCTCTCTGAGCCTTTTTAAAATTTCTCGAAGTATACAGATTCCCCAGAAACCTTTCAACTTCACTAAATGTATTTCAGTTATGTTTCCTTTAAGGAATGTTACATCCATGTACAATTTTATTCGCCTGTATTTGCAGAGAAAACACTTCCATCCAAACTCTTAAGTGGTTTACTGATGCTAATGAATCCTGGCTGGAGAGAAAAATTATTTGTATTTATGAACAGACACCTGAGGCAGGGAGAGGCTGAGTTATTTTCATGAGTGCAAAGAGGTACTAACAACCACTCGAAGAGGAATATGCTCTTCTTTGTGTCTGCGTTGACTAAAGCTGGGTGGCTTCTAAACCATGCCTGTGGCTCAACAGCACACTCATGGATCCTATCAGCATTAACCCTCCTCTGTTCTCTCCTCATCCTTGGTGCTCTCATACCTAAAGCAAAAATGCCAACCACCTTCAAAGGCCTTGCTGCTTCTGTAGATTTCATGGTGCATTTTCATTGCTTTTAGTGGTTTCTGGTTGGGGCTGGAGCTTCACACGTACCAGAGAGCATGGACACAGTCAGAGCCGTTCAGCAGCAATTTGCTGAGTCTGAGTGTGGTCCTCCAGGCCTCTGACTTTTTTTCATTTCCTTGAAGGGTATCTGAGGAAGCTCAGGGGACCTGCTAAGAGAGGCATGGCAGTATCACATCCTGTGGGTGGCTGTTCAGCAAGGGAATGGTATAGGCTCTCCTCCAGCAGGTGGTTTTTCATGAGCTCAGTGAAACAATTTGTAAACCGCTGTTCTTGAGAAGGTCTCTATTTCTTTTCTAGATCCTGTCTCTGGTTCCTGAGTTATTGCTGTAACATTTCCATCTGGAACACAGCTTGAGCACGAGAAACATTGCTCTGAGGCAGCAGCCAGGTGTATCACTATAAAGGTAGTGACATCTCAGGTGAGTTTTGCATTGTCTTTACACTACATGCTGTTTCCTCCCTTGTTTTCTCTTTCCTTTTTCCCAAACTATAAGTCTTCCTGATATCAACAAACTAGCATGTTAAAATGCACAAATTCAGGTTGCAAAATCAGGGAACTTACTTTTCCTTTGAAGCTCTGAAATAAAGTATTACAAGACCACCCGGTACTGCTGCCAGACAGTGCCATTAAACAAAGAGATGGCAACTAATTCATGTATCTCCCAAAGCTCATATAAAAACTTTTGGGGATGTGTTGAAAAAATTTGACATTTTTTTGAGAGAATGTATAGCAACAACCTTCAGTATGTTTGGGAGTTTGTGCAGAATTTTTGCTTTTTTGGGAAAGGAGGTATCTAGAGCAATTTTATTTTTTTTGTGTTATATTCTCCCCAGACTACGAATTGGGAAGAAATTTGATGAAATGTGCACAACAGGAATAGAAACTAGAGCTATTGTTTTAATGTAGCGGGTATGAAGGTGAAGAGATAAAGAATTGACTTAGTTTCTATATGGAAAAGTGTAACTGGGGGGGAGAGGATTTGGGGAACTTGGTTTGGAAAGAAGTTCTTTTTCCTACAGGAAAATGTGAAGATTCATGTTTAAAACATTTAAAGTGTTTGGCCACGGCCAGCTCTTAATCCAATAGGAAATAAATCGGCTAAAGTGAAAACAGATAATATATACCATGTAAAATTGGGCTAGCAACAAGTTACGTACACTTACCTTTAAAAAGCTTGTAAAGAGATTTTGGTAGATATCAAGAGCATCTATAAACTGCAGGAGGCAGCGTGGTGACTGATGCAAATGCCATGCTCCGAGTAGCGGCCAAAAGCTTTTTTTGGAGAGCAAGACCCCACTGAGCCACAACCTGGATGATCTTTCTGTGGACAACCAGGAGTTAAGAGTAGCTCTGATAAAACTAGCTGTTCAGTTTGCCGAGTCGTTCCATGTGTCTCAAGATTTCGGTGTGAGTATCTTGCAGAGAGGCCAGGAAATTGGGCTCTATGCTCTATTGGAGACATGTCATGTAATTTTTATTTGTAAGATAACTGTGTACTGGGGTTTGGTTTTGGGCATTTGTACTCAGTGCTAACATCTCCTTTCATTTTTTTGGAGTAAACCCTTTAGATGTGAGCTTTTACACAGATTAAATTAGGATTTAATAGCCGTTGTTTAGTCTTCCTTTCAAAAGTGAGCACTTTTAAAGAAAAGAAGCTGTAGCATTTAAATAAAGGAGAGCAATGAGCGTATACCCAGAGGGGCTGTCACTTCAGATAAGTGCAAAGGCAAGTTCTGTAGCGTGCTAACATGGAGAGCTGGTTTCTTCATGTGTTAGTTTTGCTCACTACTTGGTACAATCAGGAATCCAGGAGCTGCTCAACCTGACCCAGTAGGATAAAAGCTATATTGATGGATAATACTGATAGGTATTTGGGATGTAAGATATATATATATATGCTAATATATAGGGAAACAGTGCCTCCAATCTGAATTCAGCACATAACAGTAGAAACAGATCCATGTTCTAAACACAGACTGTGTTCTAGAAGCACATATATTCAGTAATAACATATGTGCCTGGATGACAGGGTTAATCTTTTCACCTGGGCTTATGAACCTGCTAACAAGCCTTCTGATTGTCTCTGAAGGGGGCTGGTATAAACACTGTAAATTAATCACAAAGATTTTGACCTTAACACCGTCAATGAGAGGCCTTGCTGCTGGCTGAGGGTGCATAGCCATATCCTTGAAAGTGGGTAATGCAAAAATATGTTTGCCATAAATTACCATTTGAGTGAATTTTGGCAGCTAGTTTCATGTCTGGTTTTGCCTGTTCTCTGGTAAAAGCTTTATCGAGGGAAGTAGTTGAGAAGATAAAGTTAAAATTCAAACTCTAGCACAAAAGTCTTCAGTGACTCAGAAATATATATATAAGCTGCACCATTATTTTTGCTCTCTCATCCAAGGGCTGGAACCAGTCCCAAGTGTGACCAATAATAGCTGAGCAAGCCTCAGACTGGAACATTAAGTATTTGTTTACAAGCTGACTTGGTAGATAATTATACATGTATTTACTGAAATAATTGGTAAATTAAACAGTTGCATAGATGTTTGCAGGATGGTGTTTACAACTAAAACTTTGCAGAACAAAATAATTCTTTCAGCAGTGATAGAACAAGAAATAGATTTGAGGAAATTACAATTGGTCTCAAATATTCTGCAGATGGAAAGAGACTCTTATGTCACAGGATCTGTTGAGAATGAGTTGTTCCAGCTCCAGTTGTGGATGAAAGACAGAATTTAAACCAATCAAAAATTACACAGAGTCGTAACTGAGAGGTTTAAAATTCAGCTAGGTGAAAGCTCAGAAGTGAAAAAGAGCTATTTCCACATGGCTGAACTGAAATAACAACTCAGATCTCTTTGAGGCAGCTTTGGTCCAAGCAAGAAATTGCTTGGAGGGAATGGAAGAGACAAATTTGTAGAATGCATAGGGAGAAGGAGAAGGCAAAAGGGTAAAGTTAGCTGCCCTGTTTCAGACTTCAGTGAATGCTTTGGAGGTCAAGGAGTTGAGTTGTGAAAGCTTCGATCATTCCCTCTTCTGCCTGAAGATTTTGTCTCCTGTTTCAAGGAATTTAAAGAAGGAACTTGGGAAATGTTGTGTTAGCTAACAAGCTAATACTTGCGAGGGTATTTTGGTCACAAAGTTAGTGAGCTTTAAAAGTACACTTTGAAGTGGGTTTTACTGATCTGTTTTCCACCTGGGTTCTGAGATTGGCCAGCAGGGAGAGGTGGTGACTACAACAGCAAAGCGGAAAACAACGCCTCTTCTTTTGTCTCAGAGCGGTAGGATGTTCATTTTTGGAGCAAAAGACCTGGTAAGAGTGCTCTGTATTCATGTCTTTCAGGATACTACTGTACCTGAGCCCTCACAATCTCAGAGTACTTGTCCTCTCAAAGGTCTGATAAAGCAGGATAATACCACTATTTTCATTTTACAGGTGGTGGAGTCAGGAAGAGAAAGAGTAAGTACTTCTTGCAGGCAGAAAGCTGAGTGTCATTATCTCACAGTTTGCCCACGTGGAACCCATAGTCTTGGAAAATAAGTCATTTGAGGGCTCAGATTAATACACTGATGTACAACCTGTTTGCCAAAGTAAAGGAGTATTATTTATTTTCATTGCTTTCCAGGTGTGATGGTTCACAGCGAACAGTTTGGACAGCTGTATGGACCACTCCTCCACCAACCCTGTGATGCTCTTCTGTGAAACTGTGCCACCTCTTACACACTGGTCAGTCCCTCTCTTCTGACCCATCTTGATGTCCCTCTGCCATTTTTACCTGCGCTGAAAATGTTGGTAAGATTTCTTCCTCCATATGTAAATCTATAGTTGTAAGCCTTTCCTCGGGTACCTTTCCTCACTGAAGTCCTCACAAAATTATGGGGCTCCTTTCACCTCAATCATATGTTTCGGCTGCTTTTTTCTCTCACCTTTCAATGGTTTGTGGACCTCTCCTCTCCAATTCTTCCGTTTGCTCACAGGGAATGCTTCCTCTTTTGTCTTTGAGAGACGCCATCACACAGCTCCAGCAAGCCACACGTAGGAGACAGTCATTGCAAACTAACAATAGTCCCTGTGTTTATTTTAGTTGCTGTCGTGTTTAGTCTCTATCAAGTCAGAGTGAGTAGCTGCATCGCTGGCTCTCACTTACAGGCTTGTGTTGAATGTCTTTTTCAGTATATGTTATAAAACTTTGCATGGTGAAGATAATCCGTTTTGTTAGATCTGAAACATGAAACTCCTCTCACCACCCATCAGGAAGAACCTCGCATAGGTTTTATAAATGACTTTGTTATGGCCAGGCTAGATGCTGAACTCGTAGATTTGTACCATCATTAAGTGCAAATTCACACTGACAGTTTAGCAGAACTTGGTTTACTACAAAGCCAGGTGGTAACAGCACCCAGTTTTGTCCAGCAAGCACCCACACGTCTTCCACTTCTTGCATATTTAAAGCTACCCCTGCTGTAGACAGCAGCTGAATTAACTGATGTCCTAACGTGTTATTGACCACCTGGGCAGTCGTCCCGGGGTGCAGCATAGATACTGGGAGCCTGAGCAAGGAGAAGGGGCAATTGGGAAGCTTTCCTTGGAGTCAAGATCCAGCTGAAAGAAGGCAACCTGTAAGGATAGAGCTTGTCTAAACAATCAGAAAGCCATGGGAACCTCTCAAATGTAACTGGGGAGGTGTGTTCGAGAAGGGGCAATTGGGAAGCTTTCCTTGGAGTCAAGATCCAGCTGAAAGAAGGCAACCTGTAAGGATAGAGCTTGTCTAAACAATCAGAAAGCCATGGGAACCTATCAAATGTCACTGGGGGAGGTGTGTTGACTTCAGAGGCTCTTGGGTGAAGGGGACACACACAACACTGAGCTAAACCAGCGAGTGAGGGGGTGGGAGTGCTACAGATTTATTTCTTGGTGTCTCTCTCTCTCGACAGAGTAAATGATTCGTTAACGTTATGTTTAGGAAAATAATCATCTTTACTTTTATTCTAGGTCTTCTCTGCCTCTGGGTGATTTCAAGGTGGCAGAGCAGCACGCTCGGTTCACAGGGACACATTGGTTTTGTTCTCCAACTTCCTGATATCTCTCCCAGTTTCGACATTCCTCAGTATTTGGAGCATCATCTCCACATAGATGATACGACTGGTCATACAAGATGTGTCTTGAGGAATGGCATCTCCCTCGGACACATCAGAACCTCCTTGGCACGCAGCGGGACATCAGGAAGCAGCCTGAAACCAGCCTGAAACTTGGGACTCTTCCAAAATTTGGACAAAAGGCCTTCTGCTTACCTCATGCGTGGGATAGATCAGGTATGTGTTCATCAAAGCTTGCTGCATTTTAAAAAACCCTTCCGTTTCTGTGAGTCATATTGCATTTGTCAGGAAAAGGGCTTCCTAAAGAAGGGGCAGCTGATGAAGAATTGCTTTACTACTTCTCTATTTTATGGGGGAAGGGAGGTGATCCCGTAGTTTTATGGATTGCTTCCATGTCAGGCTGGTCCAGCAGAGGGGGCTTTTACACAGAGGAGAGACAGTTCTATGTGTGCAGTTCCCAACACCCAGGTGCAAGTGCTCCTGCAGCAGGAAAATAGCCTGATGACCAGAATTCACTTACAGCTTTTAGTTTGTAAACACAGTGAGGGGTTTATTAGATTAAATTTGTGATGCAGGGGACATTTGGCAATTCTTATTTATGCCTGGAAAAGTCATCTCAAGATGACTGACACAATACTGTTATATCTGATAATAAAAAATGTTCCCCCGTTGTCACTCCACCTTCTGAATCATAGACTGTTTCAGTAACTGCAGTAAAATATGCTCATGCTGAAACGTAGCAGCAGTGCTGTGATCTTGGAGGAAGTAATCATCTAAAAACCTCAAAAGGTTTTAGAATTAAATTTATGCAGCACCTAGAGTTAACCCTCCATAGCATAGAATTCTCTTTATTTATTGCTCTGTTTTGTTTGATTTTTAAATTAGTTGCCTGCACATGGAAAATTAAAACTCCATGAAATGAAAATTGTTCGTTCGTGCAAGCAGGGCCTTGGTGGATAAGAGAAGCTTATGGCCTTTGTTTTTTGTGCACAAAACCCCACCCCTTGCTGCCAGCCCCACTGTGGGCACGTGGCCACCTTCAGATTTCATTTATACATCCCCAAATCATGTGCCAGACCTACAAACAGCCATAGACATGAGCTCCTGGCTGCTCCTCTAGTCAGCTAGTCTCTGTGCAGAGCTATCAGCAAGCTCTTCCCTGGGAATGACTGGCCTTTAGAAATTCACCCACTGCTAAAAATAAATAATAATAAAAAAAAATCTGAGTACTTTATTTCATGTAGAGGCATGACCAAAAAAATTTATATGTTTCCAGATATTCCCAGCATGATCAAAGGTTTGTTATAGACTGTTTTAGATTCAGAGTGAGAAATGGCAGCTGCCTGCAAGCCATTCATCTTCTAAGATTTCTATATACTGCTGCCTATACAGTGGTAAGCACTCTGGGCAGACTCTTCTCAGCATCTTAATTGTGTTAATTTTTTCTACTTGCTGGTTTGTTTGTTTGTTTGTTTTCTTGCTGTAAATGCAGTCTTTTCATTTGAACTGGTTTGCAACCTGCGCATTTCTTGGCAGTGCCTCCTCAAATAGGGTATGGTCAAATAACATGCAACAAGAAGGTGGTACGATTTAACAGACAACTCTGAAGAAAAATGTATTTTGGCATCAAAGCTTGGGTAAAAGGAGAAAGGTGTGGGGCATCCTTAAAGCCTTACGGAGAGCATTGTAGGAAAGCCATGGCTGCTGCAATGGAAGAGTTGATAGGAAGGTGAAATCTGCATTTTGCAAGAACCTCCCCCTGCAACTCACTTCCAGAGTGATAATTTTTTCTTAAATATTTATGTGCATTGTATTTATTATCAGTTGGGCAAAAATTTTAATCAGGAAGTCCATATATTGATGGAAAAATCCAGGAGACTATCTGAGACTTTGGACCCAGGATTCTGCAAGGCAGAGAGATTTATACAAGGGAATGCAGGTGAAATAGGTTAAGTTTGTGAGCTGCTTCCACAGTGGAGAAAGGATATGAGGCCTCAACTGAGATGAAATGTGCTTGCTTGGGAAAAATTTGAAGTTTTTGGCAACCTCTTTCTCCCTTTCAAGTGTTTGACTCCCTGTGACAGAGTGGAATCCGTATCTGTATGAATTATAGCAGAGCCACAAAGAATAACAAGTTAGCACAGCATAGTTTGTTCCAGTAATCCAAATCTAACAGTGCTTCTCTCAGCTTCTTTTGGCTCAAATTTTTTTCTTCCTTCTCAGGTGTGTCCAATAGCAAGTAGCAAATCTCCGAAACTTCCTGTGCAAGTAATTAAGTAAATGAGCTTTATTTATTAAACATGTTATTTTAATATAGCAAGTTTTCAGTGATAGACAAAGACCGTGCATTGTAATTTAATATTAGAACCTGTTCTTCAGGTGTAGTTCTGCACTATCTAAGCTGTGGTAGTGGTTTAATCCTTTTTCTCCGCTCTGAACTTCAGTAGGAAGACATGAGATCCCCCAATATGTTAAAAAAAAAATAGAATAAAAATTGAAACCTAATCTTATACCTAACACTGAATATACTAGCACTTGCTATTGAAAATCCATATAAATTCTGCCACTATCACTGGCCCAGGGTGACTATTGGAGAAATACCAGTTGCTTTTTAGTGAGTTACTGTTTTTCTACTATAATTTGCTATTGATTTCATATGTGACATATAGATTGATTATATTTTTAATACCATTTTGCCTAGTAGCTGCTTGAGGGTTTGTTTTGGCCATTTTCTGCAAGTTAAGTACACTTTTTTGGTCATATCTGATCCTCTGGAATGAAACCCATCTGTTCATTTTTAGAAAGTGAACTTTTGCAGCTTTATTACCAAGCATATGACTTGGTAATCATGAGTTTTATGTTTCTTAGCAAATGCTTTGTATAGCTCCAGCTTGGAAAAAAAATGCCAGGGAAACCCATTGAGGTTTGCAATAAAAATCATAGAAGAAACACGGGGCTGAAAGGCAATCCAGGAGTTTGCCTGGTTCTTTCTGCTCCAGGATAAGGACAATTACCTTTATAATAATATTATATTCTGATATCATATTCTATCTTTCTAATACGTTCCTCAATACTTCCAGTGATGGAAAAAGCACACCACAGCCTTGCCCCAAGTACAACTGCAGGACTTCTTGCTTCTTACCACTACCCTACAGCTAACCTTGAAATGGTGTGTCCTATAAATCCTCCACTTATTCTGTGGATGCTTTGAAATATAATAGATGAGCCTGAAAAGGTCAAACAACCTGTCTGTTTCAAAACCAAACTTTCAGAATGACCTTTCTCAAACCAGCAGTTTTGCTAAACCAGCGTCACTGAAAGTGTTAGGGCTTTCTGTTTTACAAATAATCAGGACTATGATCAAGCAACATGATTTCATTTTAGCGAATGACAAGATAACTGTGAGTCGTGAGAAAAGTCCCCAAAAGAAAAGCCTTTGTGAAATGAAAAATATCATTGCAACTTGCATATATGTGCATGTTTATGTTTGAAAACAGGATTAGTTTAGGAAACTCCAGAGAAGAGAAACTCTGTGGTTTGCGTGATTCAGAAGTTCCGCAAGCAACGTTTCACAGTTTTGAAATTACTCAACAGCACAGAACAAGATGTCCCACTGTGCTCAATCATTTTGACTGAAAGCCATTGTAATATATTAAAAAACTA